AAGAATGGAATTCCCAAAATAAGAATAAGCTTGGTACTAACGCCTAAAATTAGCACAGGTTTCCAAGTTATATACATTTATGGCTACTCCAAGCTGATGTTGCAATGTGTTTAACCCTGAACTCCCATTCACTTAGGCTGAACTCCCCGAACTCTTTTCACAGAGCTGAGCCTTCCAACATCTAATTAAAAGCTTGGAGATAAAGATTATTCTAAAGACCCAGGTCTCTGTGTAGTCCTGTAAATTTTCTGGGAACTTCCCAAACATTTGTTCCCACAAAATCTCCTGTGAAAGTGCCTAAGTGTAGAAGTGAGCGGGTTTTGAAGCATAGATGCTCCTTCCCCTTCTGTTTCCAAAGATACCATTTATACTGAAAACGTGTCCATTTCCGGTGGCTTTTTTTGTGGAAGAAACGCAACCTAATATTGCTTATTCAAGACAGCAGCTCCTTCTATAGGCTGCTAAAATACTTACCCACAAAAGGTTCCATAAAATACCCATTTTCAGCAGCTCATGTAGAAGACTAGCACAAATAGAACTCTTTCATTGGTAGATTTTAACTAGATACAATTCTCAATGGGTATAAATTGTCATAACTCTATTAGAGTTATTGCTGTATTGAGCTTTTTACTATGTTTGAGGCTCTGGCCTGATATTGTATGCAGCTTGCCTTAAGTGGCGTGGTGGTGCTTGTTGAGGTTAAACAGCTGTCATGTTCCAGCCCTGAAGCAGCTGAATTTTAGTAGGGAAAGTGATTTCTATGCAAATAATTTTCAAGTGCACCAGGGTCCTTTTGGGTGAAAGCTGTGATATAAACAAAGCCTTGCTTTTGGTCACATCGGCAGAGCTTCTTAGTTACAAAATCTTGGTGAGAACATTCCAGCTCTTTGTGAAGCAATTCCTTTAATGAGGCTGTTGAGACTTCTGATAGTTTAACATTTTCCTTTCCTTGTTCTCTGGTTTCCCATTAGAACTGAACAAAAATATGTATAAGCCTACTGAGTATGTGCAGAATATCCTATGGGAGAGTTTTTGCTTTGCATTAGTTGGTTCTGTTCTAGATGAATACTAAATGACCAAAACCACTGCCTATTATGTTATTGAAGGCTGCCCAGGATGGCCAGCAAAACCAATTTGTGTGTTGCTGCTTCAAGCAATGTCTCCTTTCTGTTGTTGTTATTAGTTTCTCCCTGGAGTTCCTGGCTCTTGACATTGCACTGGTGTGATGGTCACAGGCACTGTGGCTTTCATCCACCAGAACAATACCTCTGTTTAGAAGGGGTTAAGTTAATCCATTATATTTGATTACCCCAAAAATTACTATTGTATCAGAGCTGGTGAAGACAGAATCTTTAGAAACTTTTTTAAAAGTCCATGTAGTACAAGGCAATATTCCAGCAATTCCTGGGTAAGGAAAAAAAGAAATTGTCCCATCTGTCTCTCTTCATTAGAGCAAAATGCTAGCTCTGTTAGATTATAGCAGTAGTTATTTTGGTGGAGAGTGTTTATACTGCACAACCTTCTAAGTGACTGTATATTAGAAGTTAAACCAGCGAGGGATGTTGTTTTGGCTTGAGCAAATCTAGGAAAAGTGAAGCTGAAATGTCCAAGTTTCAATGCTCCATTTCCAAACCTCAATGGCTGAGATCTTACAGGTAAGTACCAACTCTGTATTCATGGGTGCCAAGTATGTGGGGGTCCAAGGGCCCTGGTTCCCCTTGGGAAGAGGGCTGTCACCTGAAATATGTAAAACTTTCCACATGTCCATCATCTTAGGCCTCCCCACCCCAGCAAAAAATAAAAATTGGTGCCTATGTCTGTACTGAGTTGTATCTTGATGCAGAGCAGTATGAAAGGCATTAAGCTAAGGCAGGAGAGAGGGGAAGGTTGTAAAGGGAAGAGTTGTGAACCTACAATCCAGGCTTCCCTTGCAGTAAATCAGTAAGTAACATGACTTGGGCAATTGGAAAATTTGGCTTAACGCAGTCTGTCGCTTAAAATTCATGGCTTCCAGTGAGGTAAAATAGTGTACAGCAAACAAAGTAAAACACTGACTCTTACCATCTGTGCATTGCCCTTCTGGGTGAAAAGGCTGCTCAGGTTTTGCTTTGCTTTGGTATGTCTGTGGTTTGAAGGTGGTTTGGTTTGGTTTTGTTTTGTTTTGTTTTGTTTTTTTAAGGCAGTTTGTCAAACGTGTTTGACCCAACATGAAAATAAAACTGTTTCTAGTGGGAGCTCAAAGTGCATGCTGAAAGCTGCTTTTGAGTTTAGAAGACTGTTAAATTATGCAAAGATGAGATATCTAGTTGTGTTGGTTATCAAAGAGGTATTTAAGGGAGTTAAATTAAGGAAAGAGAGTTGAGGTGGAATATTAGGGGTAACTTTCTGACAGCTGTTAGGCTATTTTACACTCCACAGGGAACGATGAAAGGCTTGTTTCTTGAGGCACCTAAAAACTGGGACACGTGCTGTACTTCATCGAGTAACTCGTTTTCTCCAGTTCTAGAAATCCATGAAAGCATGCTGTTGCCCCCTGGAGGAAGGTGGCATCATTTTTTCTGCATTGTTTTGTGGGTTTACAATGTGGTACCAGGGAGCTGAGGAGGGTATTTAGGCACCAGCTCTAATCCATTCCAGTTGGAATTTGATATCTAAAATATCTTTTTGTATCTGGGCCTAGGAATCTACCTTTCTTGCTTGTTTTGCAAGATCCCCTAGTACAGAGATTTTTCCAATGTGTATAAATAGATAGTTCTTGATGAGTCTGAAGCCACTGTTAAACATTTGCTACTGAACCACTAGGGCTGGTAGAGAACTAGAAGAAGACATTTGCCTTTATTCTGAAAGTATAACTTGCCTTTAAGTAGTGATCAGTGGTATTGAACTCAGAAGCAGGTGGTTCCCCTGCTTTGCTTGTGGCAGGTTAGAGTGTCATCTGGTGTTGTCAGGCTTGGTGGAGAATTTTAGATTATGAGACTTGCACAGGATGGTTTGGATTGTGAACAACGCATGCCCCCAGAGGCTGGGGGTGCATGGCAACCACCTGCAGGCAGTGGTGGCAGTGGCAGTGTTGACAACGGGGGCATGGCGGTGGTGAGCACGGACCACCCACAGGCAGCCACAAAAGTATTGGCGGTGAGGGGGGCGGGGTATGAGTCGGGGGGACTGCCTGCAGCCACTGTCCATGCTGTTGGCAGGGGTGAGTGGCGAGCGGGATCTGCCATGGGATCTGCTGGCAGTCGCCAACAGCTGTGTTGGTAGCAATGGGGGGCAGCAACTGCCTGCAGAAGGCAGTGGCAGCCAGTCTCAGGGGTGGGGGGCACATGATCCCCTGTGCCCCCCCTACGCATTGCCTCTGGTTTGGATGGGGACCATCCTGCCTCGGGCCAGCAGCTGGACTGGAAGTCACTCTGGTGGTCCCTACCAGCCTGACTCCTCTACCGGCCTGCGCGTGACTGCAGTACGGGGGTGGCACTTCCTCCCACAAGGGGCAGCCCTCCACTTCCAAGTGAAATGAACCACCCCGGAGCCTGGGGTGCTCTGGAGGCGGGTGGACGAGGTTCTTTGGCTGAATCTGATCTCTCTTATTGGACCAACTTCAATAGTTGGTGTCCCGGGACGCAAAGGTACTCACCAGCAACTTCTGAGCCTGGGAATGGATGACGGGAGGCGAAACCTGCGCGGCTCATTAGGCACTTGTTTATTCAGCTGCAGCCGGCCAGTGATGCAAACGCAGCGTGCCGGCCGGCACAAATAAAAATGGCGGCACACGCCGCAGGGTTGGCAGAGAGGGAGGAGAGGCAGCACCCGATGTCCTCGCCTCTTGGACAGGCAGGAACATCGAGGCACAAGGGGAGAAACACCCAGGACAGGTGTGAGAAGAGGCAGCAACGCTGCTCGAACGACACTGCCGGCGCGGCTGCCAGGAAGCTCCGGGATCACCCGTGACACCTTGAAGGATACCCCAGGAGAAATCACCCCTAGGAGGATAGACTGCAGGGAAGCCCAGAGAGAGGTGCCTCCAAAGGCAACACCTTCGCTGGACTGTGAGGTGCAGGGGAATAGGCAAAGACTGAGTGCCTAAGCAAGAGACAGTCAGTGCTTCAGTGAGGCGTGGGGGGGGGGGCAATTAAAGGGGCAGTACGCACAAGTTTGCATTGAGGTTTTTGTGGTTTCTGTTAAGCTTGTCTTTTCCCTGAGCTCTAGGGGAGACCGGAGGGCATTAACCCATAGTAGGCCTAGTTCTGGGTAGGGAGGAGCCAGCATATCATACGGGTAAGAGTCCAAAGAACAAGATGACGAACAGCTTGGCACCACCATATAGGAGGCGTGAGGCCGGGGTGTAGGGGTGGTGGAGCCCCGAGAGTGACCACCAGAAGAACCCTGGGCCTACGAGCGCACACGATGACCGACCCCAGACACCGATACCATCAAGTCATGGCAGGCGGGAACGGGGTCAAGGAGTCGGGCGGAGAGCATCAGCTCAAGCGAAGGCCGGAACGCCGGCAAGGTACAACGCCAATCACCCTGGGAAGAGCGGCCCGAGAACAGCTAGTCGCATCCCGGCGGTGACACTTGGAAAAAACAATTCTTAGCAAGCTTTCATGTTTAAAAAACCTTCCTCAGGCTGAGACAGCTCCTGTATTCAAGTGGGTTAGCATTTGAGTTGGGACCAGCAGCCCAGCGAAAAGCTTCCCCAACAACCCCTACCCCTTCCCCACACCAGCTCTGCTCTTCTCTGGGGAAAGCGCGAGGACCACGTGCTGCCCAGCCACATTCATCGCGCGCTCCTTGCGCAATACACGTGACGCGGGGCAGGGCCGAGCGCAGCACAGCTCAGCTCACCTACAGGCTGAGGAGCGCGGGGGCGGGCGGCCCCTCCCATGCCCCGCCCCTTCCCGCTCCCTTAAAGGAGCCGCCGCTACAGTTTCTTACCCCCGCGCTCTGCTTGGCGCCTGCCTGGCGCTGGGGGGAAGGCGGCCGGGCGCGCGGCGCGGCCATGGCCACGGCCACAGCTATGGCCCTGGCCCTGCAAGCGGAGACGGAGGCAGCCCAGGGCGTCCTTGGCTCCTTTCTGCGGGACTTCTCGGCGCCGCTGGGCCCGGAGGAGCCGCCGCCCTGGAGCCCGCAGGGCAGCGGCGCGCTGAGCAGGGCGGAGGCGCGGGGCGAGCTGACCGAGCTGGCCAGAGGCCTCCTGGGCGCCAGGTGAGAGGGACGGGGCACGGGCGCCGGCCGTTGGGGAGCCGTTGCGGGGGGCGGGGCTCTGCGGTCGCCTTGGTGCCTCAGTGTGGGGGCTTCCGCTGTGCGGGCGCTGCGGTGCCGCTCGGCCCAGCCCAAACAGCCCCGCTATCTCGCTGTTTTTATCGCCATTGTGCTCCAGCCCTGGCTGCGTGTCCTCGGCTGGCG